GAAGGAACCCTACTTCAAAATGACACCTGCACCCCAATGTTCATAGCAGCAATATTTACAACAGCCAAGACATGGAAACAGCTTAAATGTCCAACAACAGAGGACTGGATAAAGAAGAGGTGGTATATTTATACAATGGAATACTACTCAGCCATAAAAACTGACAACATAATGCCATTTGCAGCAACATGGATGTTCCTAGAGAATGTCATTCTAAGTGAAGTAAGCCAAAAAGAGAAAGAAAAATACCATATGAGATCGCTCATATGTGGAATCTAAAAACAAAAACATAAATATAAAACAGAAGCAGACTCATAGACATAGAATACAAACTTGTGGTTGCCAAGGGGAAGGAGGGTATGAAGGGACAGACTGGGAGTTCGAAATGTAGAATAGACAAACAAGATTATACTGTATAGCACAGGGAAATATATACAAGATCTTGTGGTACTCACAGCGAAAAAGAATTGTGGCAATGAATATATGTATGTTCATGTATAACTGAAAAATTGTGCTCTACACTGGAATTTGACCCAACATTGTAAGATGACTATAACTCAATAAAAAAAATTTTTAATTTTAAAAAAGATGTGGTATATCCACATACAATGCAATACTATTTAGCCATGAGAAAGGAGGAAATCCTGGCCTTTATGACAACTTGGATGAAACCTAAGCCATTATGATAAGTGCTGACAGAAAAAGACAAATACTGTATGATGTCACATATGTGTAATCTAAAAAAGCGGAACACAGAGAAACAGAGCAGAGTTGTGGTTTACTGGAGTCTGGGGGACAAGAGGAGATGTTGGGGAAATGGTACAAACTTCTAGTTATAAGATGAATAGATTCTGGGGATGTAATGTACAGCATGGTGATTACAGCTAATAATAGTGTATCATATACTTGAAAGTGGTGACGAGAGTAGATCTTAAATATTCTCACCATTAAAAAGAAATGATAATTATGTGCTGTGATGGAGGTGTTCAATAATGCTACGTTGGTAATCATTTTGCAATATATAAGTGTATCAAACCACACGTTATACACCTTATACTTACGCAATGCTCTGTGTCAACTGTATCTTAATAAAGCTAGAAAACTTAATATATTACCTATATAATTATGTATATATTACACATACATATTTTCCAGCTTTGTTAATATAATGTAATGCATATGATGTGATTGGTTAATTAATACTATATAAGTTTTATTATTAATTAATGCATCAAATATAATTTCTGTATTATTAATTAATATATCAAAGAAAGAAACACTAGAGGAGGACACGGGAAGAATAGGGGTGTACAGTCAATTCTTAGAGCTCAAAGGGACCTGTTAGCTAAGGGCTCAGGGCGGATTCTCCAGGAGGAAGTGATCATTAACCAAATGTTTGAAGAATTAACATTAATCTTTTCCCCCTTTGTAATATAATCAGCTATGTAATCTCACGTTTTCTTTACTTATATTGTTTTATATAGATAAAAAAGTTATATAAAATAAAGCTATTATTGTTCACATTTTTTTTAAGTCTAAAAAATAGAAGAAGAGGGAACACTTCCTGAGTCATTCTGTGATACCAGCATTATCCTGATACCAAGCCAAACAAAGGCATCACAAGAAAATAAAACTACAGGTCAGTATCTCTTATGAATATATAGATGCAAAAATTCTCAATAAAATGCTAGCAAACTGAGTCCCACACAATATTAAAACAATGATACACCACGACAAAGTGGGATTTATACCAGAAAAGCAAGGGTGGTTAAACATGAAAATATGTATTAGAACATAATGAAATACACCTCTTTAATAGAATAAAGGGGGAAAAAATCACAAGATTATTTCAATTGATATAGAAAAACCATTTCACAAAACCCTCCACCTTCACAAAGCTGGGAATAGAAGGGACTTACCCAACACAATTAAGGATACCTATGAAAAATACACAACTACCATAAATTTTAGCAGTGAAGGAGTGAAAGCTTTCCCCCAAGATCAAGAATAAGACAAGGATGCAACTTTGATCACTGCTCATCAACACTGTACTAGACGTTTTAACCAAAACAATTAAGCAAGGAAAAGAGATGAAAGACATCCAAATTGGAAAGGAAGAAATAAAACTACCTCTATTTGCAAATGACATGATCCCATACAAAGAAATTTCCAAGCAATCCTCAAAACAACTTAGTGAAGCTAATAAATGAATTCAGCAAAGTTGCAGAGTACAAAATCAACACACAAAAATCAGTTATGTCTCTGTACACCAGCAATGAACAATCCAAAAAGAAAATGCCCATTTTTAGGAGACTGGTTGCCTGACTAAGGTGTGTGCATATGGTGGTGTAGAATACAGCTGTAATAAAGGGGAAATATATGAATTGCCTTAAAGTAATTTTCAGGATATATTGTTAAATGAAAACAACAAGGTGTAAATGAGCATATTTGTACAAGAAAAAAGCAAAATTAAGGATTTAAGTAACTAATTATCTTTATCTTATATAAAACTTTTCAAATAATTGATAAAGAAGGGTTACTACTCAACACATTCTAGGTCGATGTAAATTTGCTACAAAACCAGGCAAGGACAGTATAAGAAAGTTTATAGGCCCAGCTCCCTTATGAATATGGATGTAAAATTTCATAAAAATAGCAAACTGAACCAAACAAATATAAAAATGGTAATATGCAACGATCAAAGCAGATTCCTGGAGAAATGCAAGAACGATTCCATGTTAGACAATCTGAAATGTAATTCAATACATGAACAGATTCAAGGAGAAAAATCATACTATCATCTCAACAGACGTAGGAAAGAACAGATATAATTTTGCACAAATTAATGAAAATTTTCTTTCCACGTCAGGGAAGAAAGAGAACTTTCTAAATCCGATGAAAGACGTTTGTGAGAAACATAAAACAGACACCATCTTAAAAGGGGAGATTTAAGAAGCTTTCACTTTAAATCAGAAATCAGATGAAAACACACACTGTTACCATGCCTGCACAACCATGTTTGGAGGTCCTGGGCTGCACCACGTGGCATTATAAGTGGCATCAAGTTCAAAGAGGAAAAATACAAGTGTCATTATTTGCAGATGATGACTGACTACAAAGAACACCGAAAAGGACACACCAAGAAATTATGATAAACACTGGGAGCGTCTGGTAAGGTAACTAGCTACAGATCAATGCACAAAATTTATCTATCTACATGAGCAACCAACGAAAAGAAATAATTAAAAAGTTACGCTACTATTTACAATTTTATTTAAAAAAGTCAAACCTCTAGGAATAAATATAGCAAAGACATGCCAGAACTCTACATGGAAACAATTATTAAAATTTTGTGAAAGGGTCTTATATTAACAAGACCTAGAAAGATGAGAGACATTAACAAGGTCAAGATTAGGGAGATGATAGGGGTGTGGATTTGAAAACACTGCCTGGGCCTGGAGCGGGCATCGCTGGGAGGTGCTTGGGGTTCTGCCAACCCCTCCTGATCAGAGTACACAGTGAAAGGCCTTCACTTTGCCTCCTCCTCTAAGCTGTGCCTGGTCACAGCTTCAACCAGGACCTACCCACCTGTCCCACAAGCAGCATGAAGCCCGCGCTGCTTCTCCAGCTCCTGTTGTTGACTCACTTAGCACCACAGCTGCTGGTGTCTGGGAGTCCCAAGCAACATTTTATGAGTAGGTGCTGGGTCTGGGCCCAGGGGAGGGACGAAGCATCTGTAGAGATGAGAAAATCTGAGAGCTGACAGCCTGGGTGCATCTCATGGAAAAAAAAATAATACAGCATCTTGTTCAAGAGTCCAAATTTTATTGTCAACAAGATCTAGGTTTGAATCCCTGCTCAGTCGCTTACTGAGTGATCTTGGGCAAAGTGTCTGGACCTTGGCTTTTATCTTTGTGATGGATATAACAACAGTGGGGTAGTTGGGAGGAGAAACTCAGATAATGCTTGCAGACAGCGTGTTCTTCCTGGACCACAGTAAAAGCTCAGTAAGTATTAACTACTGCAAATGTTATCAGCTTCATCATCCAGCTTATACCTGCTACCCTTGGCTCCTTCACAGATGCTTGGGTCAACTTTTCATGCGTTAAAACAGAGAGAAAAATTAAATTGGTAGAACTCAAACTGGAACCTACATAATCTCAGCCTTGGAGGACGTCTGGGGAGGCAAGGAAACCAAGTTTTGCATTTCACTTCAAGTGTTAAAAATTCAGAGGTATCGGCACAATTATCAGTCACGAGCATCAACAGGATGGTGCAAAGTTCGTCTCGGCGGCCACCATTGCCCAGCACCCCCCCCCCAGCCAGAGCTCTGGCCACAGTTACGTTGACAACAATAACCAAGTGGAAAATGAGCTATTATTTACCACATCCGCACTCTTCTGGGGAGAGAGCATCTTCAGAATATTGGCAGCTCAGGAGAGGGCTATGCCTGGTATCTCATGTGTGGAGGGAGGCAAGGTCTTGTTTTAGGGATCTCAGAGAGGGCACGCAGGTTTGACTGAGGAAGGCTGAACAAGCTGCCAGAGAACGGGGGTATCCAGGGTAGACTTCATTAGAGGACCAAGGGCTAAAAATTGAAGAGAGACACAAGAGGTTTTATGAAAGACTTGTAAGTACCATGGTGAGACTGGGACCAGATACCCAGAAGAAGAGGCAAAACTTGAGAAGGTCAACCTCTTTGAGATTCCTGGCTCATGGACTCCTTCACCACACTGTTCTATTGAGCCCCAAGCTCTCCAACATCTTGCACTGACCCAGTGAGCCACGGGGTGACTGGGCGGCCCTGGGTGAGAGCTGAGGACTGACCTCTGCCAAATTGTCAACAGCTTGGCTTCTCTCACCCCGTCTCCAGTGCTATTTGCTGTTACCCCCAGAACTCATTTGTGATGTGGGTTCTAGCATTCTGATGCCTGTAACTTTAATGTAGCGTGCAGTCTTCATCCTTTCCCAAAATCATCCCTTTCTTTTTTTTTAATTCTTTTTTTCTTAAATTGAAGTGTAGTCAATTTACAATGTTAGTTTCACGTGTAGAACAAAGCGAAAAATCATCCCTTTCACTCATTCTTCCTATACATAAATAACACACGTTAGGTCAAACCCTGGGATAAACTGTATTGTTAGTGAGAGGCTGTCTTGCCTGAGACTACACGTGAGTCAGCGCAAACAGACGTCCACACCCCTCTATTGCTCACACCCTGTTCGTTCCCTTGAACTGTACCCAAGCAGGGTCTGTGGGGACTTGGTATCTGATCTGCAAGGCTGATGAATGACCAGTGGGCGCAGGGTTCTGCCAAACTGATCAAATATCCAAGCCCTGGTTTTCCCTGCAGAGAACTCAGAGGAAAGCAAGAGCTAAGGACCAAATCTTTTTCCACCACCTGGGGTCCACACACGGGGGATGTGAGTGGCTGCGTTGCTGGAGTTCCTTGGGCTTTGGGAGTTTTGAATGTCACTCCAGCCGGTGGTTTAAGCCCTTCTGTTTCCTGTTCTGTGTTTCAGGATATATCTTGGAACCTCCACCCTGCAGATCGGACCCTGAAAACTGTACTCATTTCTGCACATTGCAGGAAGATTGCCACCGCGGGTTTCAGTGCTGTTCTGCCTTCTGTGGGATAGTCTGTACACTGAACAAAAATACAAGCCGCAAAAGGTAAGGGGCCCCTCGTGCCCAGTCCCTGGCCTTAGGGCTGCCAGTGGGAGCTCAACAGAAGAGTCTCTTACCAGCCACTACAATGGATCTCTTTTTCTCTCTAACATCCTTCTCTTTACAAAGTACAATTTCTATAAGTGTTCTGATTAAAAGAGCCTCCTTCCTCCACTCCCAAACTACCTAATCATTCTCTCTTCATCACCGCATCTCTCAATCTCTGAATGTGCCTCTCTGAATACACCGATAAGCTACTCCATCCACACACCCTGTCCTGTTTCAGAATCCACCTTAATCCACGGTCTGGGACACTTTATTTGAAGCCACATCACCAGAATCCCAAAGCAAATTTGTTCTCTGTTTTTGGCCCTCTTTCACCAAACACCGTCCTTTGCGCCCCAGTGTTCCTGGACCCTGGAGATCCTCCAGCCCAAGAGACGCTTTGGTGACTTACCCAACTGGTCCCCACTCTGCTGAATGGGGCGAACTCTCAGAGCAGAGAAAGGGCGTTCCAGTGCTGATGAAATGTCTGGTTTCCAATCCTATCTTGTAACAATGTCTTTCTATGACCTTGAGTAAGACAATTCCCCTTTTTTGTCTTTTATTTTCTCATGAATAAAATGAGGACTCTTTTCCAGCCTTGCAAGATTGTTAGTAAGGCCCAAATGAGGTCTCAAAAGACCCACAAGGCAGGAGACTCAACCAGTGAGCTTCTAAGCTGTCTCGTTCTCTGCTATATTTCCTGCTCTGGCAGCCAACGTATGAGACAAGGAACTGAGTGATGAAGTAGGGGCCCAGAACCAGATACTGGACTCAAATCCTGATTCTCCCGCTTCTTAGCTGAGCAACAAGCTAATCAGCCTCTCTCTGGGCATCAGCTTCCTCATCTTTGAGGCTGGAACAACATGAGTGAGCTTAAATTAGATAACCCATGCAATCACTAAAAACACTGCTTGCCACATGGTAACTACTCAGTAAATTTTAGCAATTAGGTAACCACTTCTCTCTTAAGACTGGCCCTTGCAATTCAACTCCGCATCTTCCAAGGCTCCACATTGGAAGGCCCAGCAGAAGTCTGATTTGTTCTTGTCCCTGGGTTCTTTGAGGTCCTACTTTCCCTGTGGCGTGAGGACTTAGCTTCATGGTCTAGTTTTAATGATGGAAATAATGGAAAATTTGTTTAACAATTATATCTCTAAGAACAAAACTTCACCACATAGTATTTGAAAATATTTCTCTTCTACAGACCCAAAAACAAGGTCTTGAAAAACATCATGGCTGGCAACTGAAGCATGTTTTCCGGAGCATTTTGTAACTCTTAGGGTTACAGTCCCAGGTGAGGTTTCCGCAGTTTTCCTTCTCCAACCTAAGGACACAAGTATTCCCACAAGGCCCAAAGAGCCTTCCATCATTGATTGCACCGTGGCTTCCCTCCTGGGGCTATGTCCTCGCTCCCTGGGGGAGGATGTGGTCCAGGGTGAGTTCTGCAACACAGAGCAACCTAAGGAGGAAGAGTCATGGCCCAGGGGGAGCACAGAACACTTAGATCTGAGCCTTTGCCAGGGAACAGGGTCTGCCAGCCTCCCGGTGGACAGCGCCCTGGGCAGAGAGTCGAGCTGAGCCCTTCACACTGTGTGGCCTTGGTCAGCTCACTCTGTGTCTCTGAGACCGTCAGCTTCCTCACGGGAAAGATGAAGTGGACATCTATACTTTGCATTTTGTGAGGATTACATGAGGCCATGTGGAATGGAAGAACTCGGTCGTTGCAAAGACTGCAAAAGGCTAGAAGTTGCCAGGAACTTGCTCTTTCCGGGTTCCAGATTTTTCCTCTTAAAAAAGGGGGGGGAGGGGTTATCTTTATTATGTTACCAATGTTACAAGAAAGGTGGGCAAAATGCAGCCTTCTGTAACTCCACCACCAAAGCAAAGCTGCTATTCATATCTTGGTAGGATTTGTTTCAACTGTTCAATTTGTGAAGTCACCAGAGTGTCTGAATTAGAACCCTGGTATTTCAGTTTAGAAACCCTGTACAAAAGAATTCAATAAATGGTAGCAAGCGGAAGCTAGTGGAGGTGTTTAAGTGCCTGGGTACCACTTGCACCCTTGCTTGGGCCCTGATGAGTCAGCCATGCTAACTTCCTCTGCACCTGAGAATAACTAACTAACTGTCCAGGTCACACACTGGCCATCAATCAATGCATCAGCATCGCTACCTAGATCCCGGGCCCGTGCAGCTTTGACTGTAATAGCTGTTAGGTCCACGTGTCACAGCGTTTGCTTGCCCTGACCCTGCAGGCTGTCCTCTGCAGATGGTTCCCCTCAACTGGCCATTACTGCTCTGGAGACCCCGGTGTTGGCTGGGAAGGTCCGATGAGCTAGGAGGTGGCAGTGCCAGTGAGAGCCTGGGAAAAAAATGCTGATCTTATTGCCAGAAAGTGCAGCGTCCAACTTCCTGTGGCGGCCGAGCATGGAGGTGTCCAGGCAGATGCTACCACAGCCTTCCAGGAACGACACTAGGGTGTCGTCAAGGGCGTCCGACTTTGTCGACGTGAGCTGTTTTAGCCGGGACGTGCCTCATCTCATTGGGCTCTCCCAGCAACCACAATACCCAGTCTACAGACAAGGAAACTGAGAAGCAAAGAGTTAAAGGAAGATGCCCAGCGTTAGCCAACTGGTCAATGGTGGGGTTAGAGTATAAACCCAAGGTTCAGGATGCCTGAGTCCCAAAGGCTCGCCGCCTTCTGCTGAGCACATTCTCACATTCCCTCTTTCCCCTGAATTTTTCTACTGATGCTCTTCCTCCTGCGTTCAGATCAGGCTTTGGAACTCCTCATTCCCTTCCACACTTAGAGACCCGCCTCACTGAACCTGGGCTTTCTCCTCTGTCCTCTGACTCGAGCTCTTCTCTCTGCCCTGAGGGTCTTTCTCCCCCTTTTGTCTGTGAGCTTCCACTCACGCTTCAAGTCACATGTTAAACACAAATTTCCGCGGAAGCTTCACTGTTCCACAGCAGACAGACCGGTTCGCTGTCTCTGTCTCTTCACAGAACCTTCTCTTGGCTCTACTTTAAACCTTATCACACTATACTGTAATTGTTTGACTTAGCATCTTCTCTGTGTAGAACATGAGTCCCACAAAAGCAGGAACGGGGTCTGACCCCTTTACCACAGCACCCTAGAACCTAACATTATGCCTTGCACGCAGTGAGGACAAAATTCTGACTTTTCAAAGGGGATGAGAAGGAGGCTGGCAAGGAGACTGCTTCTAACATTTGATGAATTGTTCTCACAAAGAAAATCTTCACTGGCTAGGCCAGAACCCGTCAGGTATCAGCTGCCTGCTTCAAGTTGGTCTGCTGGACTCAGGGGTTTTACAAATTATGTTTCTTGAAGACTAACTTATATTTGATTTTGAAAACTTAGACTGAAAAACAAACAAAAAAGCAGCTTGGGAATATCCTATTCACAAGAGGGATTAGGACAGAGTACGTGCTAAGGGTCCTGTCTGCTCTGGGACTCAGTCTAGCTCTGCCCTTGCTGGCCTGGGGATGCTGGGTATCCCCAAGTCCTCAGGGCCCCAGCCTCTTCATCTGTAAATGGAGCTGAATAACAGCTACTCCCAGTTGTGTCATGAGACAAAATGAAACGGGAGAGAGAAAATACATACCAAAGTGCCTGGCAGAGAGCCCAAGGAAAATGTTACTATTATTATTCATGTCTTCCCAATCCTTCTTTTATCCAAAATTCTTGTTTTATAAAATAAACAAGGTGTACATACCAGCTTAAACTCTATGTTTTAAAATTTTTCTCTAGGTTCCATTTAAATTAGCTCCCAAAGAAGACAAGCATCCCGTCTCTGATCTTTGAGATGTCTTCTAAGATGGAACTAGGCATAGTTGCAGAAAGTACTCCATCCCTGAAACATCATGTGATTAAATCAAATGGTGAATGATCAGCTAATTTAACAATGATTCTGATTCCTCAACTAAACTGCCAGAAACTACAGAAGATGTTGCTTCCCTCTGCAAGTCGCATGTGAACGTTACCAACTTGAAATTTGTGGTCACCTAGTCCCGTGATTCCACTTTCCTCCAATCACATCCTCCATCCTCTCCAACTGGACTTTTCTCAAGATAAATTTATTTAATTCCAATTATTTGTAAAGGAATAAAATTTCAAGATATGTACTAATTGTCGAAGCATGTATCTGAATTTTTTACACAGGGTATAATACGAGTGTGATATGAACAGAGCCTGAGGCAGGAACAGGCAGTGAAGGGACCTGGGGAATTGGAGATCTCTTGCTTCACAGGCACCTACGATATGGGTTTTTTCAACTGAAGGAATTGGAGATGATACAGGAATGGACCCATATATTTGAAGGATTAGGTGGGTGTTGGACTGGAGGACCCACAGGAGTCACATCAAGTGAAGATCATAACTAAAAGATACACTAATGAAATAATGATGTGGGCAAAGATGTTCATCAATATTACTTATGAATATAAAATATTTGAATCAACTTTAATATTCAACAGTAGGAGACTACTTAGGAAAATCATAGTAGATCCCTGGTGTGAAACAAACATACTTACGATAGGCTACAGATGGGACTTTTTCCGTCATCTCATAGATCTTAGCTGAGATTTCATAGCTAAAGATAATCATCAGTGTTCCAAACTCATTCCATGAAGCCAGCCTCACCCTGATACCAAAACTTGACAAAGACAAAGAAAACTACAGGCCAATATCACTGATGAACATAGATGCAAAAATCCTTAACAAAATATTAGCAAACTGAATTTAACAATACATTAAAACAATTGTAGACCATAATCCAGTGGGATTTATTGTAGGGATGCCAGGATGGTTCAATATCCACATCAATCAATGTGATACAACACATTAACAGATGGAATGATGAAAATGGTTGTCTCAATAGACGCAAGAAAAGCCTTTGACAAAATTCAACATCCATTTATGATTAAAAAAAAATTCTCAACAAAGTCGGTATACAGGGAACATACCACAACATAATCAAG